AGGAACTCCCATCTCAAGGACTCCCTGCTCTGTGCAGTAGGAAGAGAGGGTGTTTGCTTGGAGTGATGGCAGTGGAATGGGGGAGGGAGGCCGAGCTGAGAAAAGGTTTAAAAAGCTGATGTGGGGGTCAGGCACCATGGCTCACATCTATAATCCCAGCACTTTGGGAGGCCCACATAGGAGGATCACTTGAGGCCAGGAGTTTGAGAACAGCCTGGGCAACATTGAGACCTCATCTCTACAAAAATAAAAAAATTAGCCGGGCATGGTGGCACATGCCTGTAGTCCCAACTACTCGGGAGGCTGAGGCGGGAAGATTGCCTGAGCTCAGGAGGTAGAGGGTAAGATAGCTATGATTGTGCTGCTGCACTCCAGCCTGGACAACAGAGTGAGACTCTGACCAAAAAAAAAAAAAGAGAGAGAGAGAAGAAAAAGAAAGGAAAAGCTGACGTGAGGAAGGGAGAAAAGAACTGGCCAGGAAGATACCATAGGATGGTAGGAGAGTGTGGTAGGGAGGGCCAGCTGGCCCCAGCATCCATCTCCCCTTCTTCCATGGCAATAGAATATTTCATGGGTCACCCAAGGACCAGGGACAAGGTTGAGATTTTTGGTTTTGTCTGTGTGCCTGTTTGTTTTGTTCCCAGCCCAACCATGTCCACCACGGGCCTCCTTTTTAGATCAAGGAGGAGCCCTGACACACTTCCTGAGAGACTATGGTCCCTGCACCCTGGGAGTGCATACCATGTACCAGAGCTTTTCCCAGGATTCTGACCCCACTTGCAAAGAGGATCCAGCAGCAGTGAGGGGCCCAGTCTAAGGAGCCACTGTTGACCTCGTGGCTTCCCTGGAAGAGGGGTTTGTTTAGGAAGGTAGTGGTTCCTGAATCACAGCATAGCATCAATTTTACCCAGCACTATGTTTGTAAATATTTATATATGCTGACTTTTTATTGATCTTTAAAATTGTTATTAAATATGGAATGCAAAAAGGCATAAAGTATTATTTTTAAAAAACACCCACGTCCCTATCACCCAGTTTAAGAAAACATGACTAAGAATGTCCCCCTTTGACGGCATCCCTTTCCCCACCTTGAAGTAACCACTACCTTGAGTGGGGGTGTGTCCTCTCTGTACCTCCCACCATGGCAGCCCAGAGAGGAGGGCCTTCAGTGGTGAGCATCACATTGCAGGTGGGTGAACAGGCTGCATTGCAACATTGTAGTAACAAGTAGGGAGAAAACCATGGAAACAACAAAAGGGAGAAGAAATATACTCTAGAGACAGAAATACTAGCAATTGCACAGACCAAGGCCAAAAGCTTTATGTCACTAATACATCAGCTTTGACACAAAAAGTGACAAATCTGGTGGGTTGCCATCTTAGGACACAGAAGCCAGTGAGTGGACAATCACAGGACAATGATAAAATAAGGGGGTCTGGACTAGGACTGACCCCCTCCAGGCTCCTGTTAGCCAAGGTTTCACTAATATCCAGGTGAGGAGGGGTTACCATTTAATACCAGAGTAAAGTTGTGGCCACACCAGCATGTTGTTTTTGGAGGCTTGGTATTAGCTGGTTGGTAAGCTGCAAAAGTCTATTCCATGGTGTGGGTTAGTTTTCCTAACAAGCCAATGCTCATATGGATCTGCCCACCAGGCTCACATTTGGATCAGTAAAACAAAATGAAAGCTCTATTGGATTGTCAGGATGTGTTGGAGCACTTCCTTAGGGACAGATGGATGAGTGACTGTTGGTTGACATTTAACTATAGCTCCAAATGTATCAAACATTTCCTTGTAATATGTCCAAGGAAGTAGACTGGACTTTGGGGCCAGAGGAGCTGCCTGCCTTCCAATCTGTCCTGCTAGCACTCTCCTCCCCACACCCGTGCAGGGCATAGTTCACTTGCTTGGGTTATAGACCTGGGGCTTTCGTTGTGACAAAGTTTTAAGTTATAAAATCAATTTTTTAAATAAATATAGGGCTATTTCTTCTTGATTAAGCTTTGATTGTTTCATCAAGGAACTGTTTTTAAAAGAAATGTATCCATTTCCTCTAAGTTACTGAATCTGTTGGCATAAAGTTGTCTGTAATGTTCCCTTATTATCCTTTCCATATCTATAGAATCTGTAGTGATGGCTCTTCTCTCATTCTTGATATTGGCAATTTGTGTTTTCCCTTTTTTTTCCCCCTAATCTGTCTGGCTAGAGGTTTATTAATTTTCCTGATATTCTCAAAGAAGCAGCTTTGGGTTTTAATGATTTTTCTCTTGTTTTTCTGTTTTCCATATCATTGGTTTCCCTTTTGATCTTTGTTTCCTTTTATTTGCTTACTTTGAATTTAATTTGTTCTTCTTTTTCTAGTTTTTTAAGTTAGAAGCTGAAGTCATTGATTTGAGATCTTTCTTCCTTTCTAATATAAATATTTAGTGCTATGAAAAAACAGGGCCTTGAGGACATTCCTTACCATGGGATCAAGTCTCAGCTAAGGCCAGCCTGACTCCAGATTGCTGGTTCTCAACTCTGGCTACACATTGGAACCACCTTGTGAACTTCTAATACTAGGACATTTAAATGACAGTCTGGGAATAAACCCCAGTATTGGGAGCTGTCAAAGCTCACCTGGTGACTTTATTGAGCAACCATGACTGAGAATCACCACTCTAGGCCAGTGTTTTTCAAACTGTCTGTAATAACCGCAGTTTTGTTCATTTCCAGCTTTATTGTTCTGTTATTTTATTGACTTATATTTTTGTAACATACAATAAAAATAAATCATATGGCTTCTAGAAGTGTCTTTTATAAAAAGTGGTACTTCCTGTCTGGGCTCAGTGGCTCAGCCTGTAATCCTAGCACTTTGGGAGGCCAAGAAGAGTGGATTGCCTGAGACCTTGGGTTCGAGAACAGCTCAGGCAACTTGGTGAGACCTCATCTCTACAATAAATCAAAAATTAGCCAGGTGTGGTAGCGTGCACCTGTAGTTCCAGCTACTTTGGAAGGCTGAGGCAGGCTTGCTGGAGCCCAGGCGGTCGACACTGCGGGGGCCATGAGTGTGCCATTGCACTCCAGCCTGGGCAATGGAGTGGGACTCCAACTCAGAAAAAAAGTGGTACTTCCTTGGCCAGGCATGGTGGCCTATGCCTGTCATCCCAGCATTTGGGAGTCTGAGGCAGGAAGACTGCTTGAGCCCAGGATTTTGAGACCAGCCTGGGCAACATAGCAAGACTTTTTTCTCTACAAAAAACAAAAAATTAACCAGGCATGTTGGCACACCTGTAGTCCCAGCTACTCTGGAGGCTGAGGTCGAGGTTGTGGTGAACCATGATCATGCCACTGTACTCCAGCCTAGGTGACAGAGTAAGATCCTGACTCTGCCCTGCCAAAAAAGTGGTACTTCCATTGCCTCTTAAACCAAGGTTTTCTCATTATTTTTTAGCATTATCAACAAAGAGGAAAGGAAGTTTGTAGAAAAATGATTACACACATGGATATTTCAACAATGTAGTTATCTCATTGTGGACCGATAGCAATTTATGGACCACACTTTGAGGAGCACTGTTTAGACTCCTTGGCTATGTGAGTCAATACTTTTTATTATTCAAATTAACTTGAGCTGGGTTTTCAGTGATATGTGGAAGATTCCAATGGAAACACCCTATCATAGCAAGTCCATCAGTGCTGCCATCATCTAATCACATGTTGCTCTCTCTTTCTCTCTCTCCCACATGAGAGTTGCAGCCATCCCAGAGCTTGTGCTTGGTCACAGTTGTGTTTGATTTTGACTGTGTGATTATTGTATACTCATTCTGATTCTGGCTCCCTTGCCAGAGCAGCATTAACACAGGAGCTCAGCCAAGGTGGCACTAACTTCCCTTCCTTTGTTATTTATAACACCCGAGAAAAGGAGAACACCCAGGTTTAAGAGGCAATGGAAGCACCAATTTTTTCCATAGAGGAAGCTTCCAGAAGCCACATGATTTGGAGGTAGTTCTCATCTTTTGATCACAATCCCCTCCCTTTTCAGTTTCCAAATACAAATGTTATCATATTTGCATATTCTTTTTGCTGTTCAAATAATCCTGTATTTGACCAGAAAGAGCCCCTTCACATTGGCTCCTGTGTCCTTTTTTTTTGCTGGGAATACTTATTTATTTATTTGGTCTATTAACACCAAGATCTGCAAAAAAAAACCCTCTAAACACAAGATAAGAAAACTCGAACATTAACATTCTTCAATTTTGTGTAAGCTCTGCAGTACAGAAAATATACAAACTTCAAACAGCTGCAAAAATAGTGTCTTTGGGAGAAAATAGAGTTTCTACATCGATACAAGAAAAATAGGCATTTTTCTAATCCAATCTAGCCCAGGGGCAGGTGGAAGGTGTGGTGTCACCATCTGCCCCCTGGAGGAATGCCTGCTCTCCCTCTCCCCACCCACCTGGGGCTGGGCAGGCCAGGCTGCTGCTTAAGACAACCTTTCATCAGGGTGAAAGCAAGATGAAATGCCACTGGGGAAACACATGGTTCCTCCCTCTGCCAGCAGCTGAGTTGGTCAAGTGTTTGGCCCTTTAGGGCAGCTTTGGTCAGCTCCTCCGAGGGAGGGAGGTGCAGGAGGGGGTGAGGATGGGGCCTGTCTTCTGGCCTCTCTTCTGTGACTGTGGAGGACAGGGAAGGAGACTGTGGTGTCCCCACTCCTTCGGTCATGGCCAGCTTGCTCCGTGACAAGAATAAAGGTCTCCTATGCAGTCATCTGACTGACACCCAGGGGGACTGGAGTCCTCTGGGTATGAGTTGTGGGCTTCCCAGTTGCTCGTGGGGGACGCAGGTCACTCACATTTGGGGGGCTGGTACCCATCGAGAGAGGACCTGGGGCTTTGATACAATAAATGAAAATGCTCGAAGGCCAAGAGGGAAGGGCTCCTCCATCCCCCACCTCAGGGGAGTCAAGGAGGGACCTACCACCAAGGCACTGGTCTCTGTGGTACAGTGGGGAGTGGCACCCTCAGACCATCAGGGAGCTCTGGAAAAGCACAGGTTCTTCTGACAGGGGCATACACTGCCATGGCTCAAATGGCAATGAGGAGGCTTTGAAGGCCTCTGGATCCTTTTGAGGGGGTGGCTGGGGGCAGGGAGAGCCCAGGCTTGAGGGACAATTACGGAAAATGAAGCCCATGCTGGGGAAGAGGGGCCTCATCAAGCTGACAGGGCAGAAGGCCGAGCCGGTCGGGTTGAAGTGGACTCTGTTCTTGTCAGGACAGGAGGTCAAAAAGGTCAGGTCAGGACCTGGAGACATGGCCTCTTCAAATACACGCACTCTCTCACAGCCTTCTGGGGGCTCCCGCTTGAAGACATAGCTGTGATTAGGCCAAGGGGAGGCAGCAAAGGCAAGGACTGGAGAGGGGCTGCCATCTTCGAGGGAGGCCGGGGGGCCTGGAGAGGAGGCTTTGTCATGGGGAGTGGATGCCAGCTCCTCCATGGTACCCCGGTGTTCCTCACGGCTGGGCCAGTCACAGGGCTGGCGGGATGCCAGGGGCATGGAGGGGCAGCTGGCAAGGTTGCAGGCTCCAGGAGGAGGAGGGGATGATCACGGCTGACACTCTGGGGAGGTGCCGGGCACAGTGCTGGGCACGGTGCCCATCCGGGACCTCAAGGATCCTCAGCAGCTCCTCTTCACCCTGCTCCTTTACAAACACCTCCTCCAGCTCTTGGTTGAGCCCTTCGAGGCTCTTGTGTAGGCAGGGACTGAGACGCAGGACAGGGGACTCTGAGGTGAGGCTGGGAGGGGACGCCCTCAGTGCTCCCCGCATGGCGTGGTCCCCGGGCAGTGGGGAGACCCGCTCCTTCTCTTTCCCCCGCGGCTCAGCTTTGTCCTCTGCAGTTGTTGCTTTAACTTGATAATCTCTTTCCGGTTGTCTGTGCTGCCCCAGGACACCGAGCACTTGTGTGTGCAGGAGCTGGCCCGCTCACCTTCCAGCTCTTGCCAGGACAGGGGAGTCTGGGTGGCCTTGTCATTGGTACAGCAGGTGAAGGCCCCATTGGCATCCCGTGGCCACTGGCCCGGAAGGTAGGAGCTGAGGATGGTGTCCAGGGAGAATGTATGTCGGACATGGGGTGGCTGAGGCTTACACACTGACTTTTCTGGGGCCACCGAGCACGGGATGCTGGCTGCGCGGCCACCCCCGTCCCAGTACTGGTGCGGCTGCTGCAGCTGGAAGGGGACGGTGGCCCTGAGCGGCTGCAGCCCAGCCCCGGGGGGGGGGG